CCCACAAAAGTGAGAGGCCAGAGGTATGAAATTCAGACCCTTCCCTGGATCGCTGGGGCTTTCCCCAAAGGGTGGAAAGGGATTCAGATCTGAGCTGCCAGTGTGGGCCCTGCTCAGATGTTGTTGTTTAAGGCAGATACTATGTGTTTTAAAGTTGTGCTTAGTAGAGGGAAGTTTGCCTCTTTTATTGGTGAATCTGGGGTCTCTCCCAACAACGCTTGCTTTCTCTTAGTGAGTGTTGTGAGGGGAGGGATGTGCTCTGGAGCTGTGGACTTTTTGCCTCCTGGATAATTAGATACATGATCTCTCCAACTGATGAAGCACAAGACACTTCCAGCCCATTTCCTGTCATAAAAGCTCTCATGGGTGGGAGTTTACAGTAACAGAAGTGGAAGGACCTTTTCTGGGACATAAGCCCACGGCTCAGAAAGAGCCCAGGGCAGCATCTGGTCTGCTTGATAGCTGACAGGGGGACCTCTTGCATGCTCTCTGATAGATTAGGATGCTGAGTCACAACTGGGAGGCCCTTGTGGAAATACCCTTGCCCCTCCAGCAGTTGCTGCACATACTCTGTCACTCCTCCTCAGTTCAGAATTCAGGAGGAGGAAGGAAAAGAACCGCGATAGAACTTCCCATTGGTGAGTGAAGCTGGCAACGGGACTTGGTGTATCTTCATTAGAGAGGTCCTTCACCATACACCAGCGGCTTTCCCACTGGATCGCCACCTGCTTCCACTCAGAGGTTCAATAGCAGCAAAGAACGGAGCAACTTGCTGCAGTGGAGAGTGGCTAGCAGTTTGAACAAGCAGAGAGGATGGCAAGCCAGCGGCACAGCCCTCGGAAGGAGCCTGAGATCGAGCTTTTCGTGAAGGTGAGTTTCAAAGACATGCTTATGAATTCTGCATGCTGGATTTACCCCAGGCAGGAAGAACAACGACCCACTAAACTCACCAGTTACTTTTGATGAAGTTACCTGCAGATTTTTTTACAAGTGCTTTTTCATTTCAGAGTGGGGGGCATTGTCCCATTTGCAATGGTCAGCGGTACATATGGGCAGATAGACCCATGACTACATGTGTGTGTGCACAGCGGTTGGCAGAAAAGGGTGCCAAGCATGCCCAAACTGGGGGAATTCCCAGGGAGCTATGCATTCTACTGTGGAGTGCCAAAGGAACTGGCAGGTTATAAAGTTATCAAGGGATCAAGTTCCTTCGGTATAATGTTGTGTTATTAATTGTTGTTATGCTGATATAAATCATATGTACAGCAATGTAAATATGGCATGTGCCTTACAGAGACAGATAAGGTGTGAGCCTGTCCAGAAGAGATAATAGATAACAACACAAACACATACATTCAATTTCAGCTTCTCACCAAGTTGTGGTTGCAAGACAGACTCTCTGAACTGCTCTGTCTCTCTTTTGCTCTGTATGTGTCAATTATTCAGCTGAAGGCTGTTTTGCTGTAGAAATGTTTCCCCCTCCGTTAAGTGTTTGGGGGACAGTTTCCTTTGGAACATTTCAACTCCCTTCTTCAAAATATTCTTAGCAAAAGTGGAGAGAGCAATAAATAAATCAGAGAACCTGAATTTCCAAATGAATGTCTGAGAGAGACATGACCCCAAACAACTTCCATAACTTTAAATTCCCTGGCCCTGTGCTTGTTACTTGGCTGGCCATTGATTACACCATCACAGTAATAGAACAACACGTGACTTTGTCTAGGGTATTTTGATGCAAACAGCAAATGCTCAAGATTTCACGCCACAAATAATGTTGAGATTCTGAGTCTTTTAAAAAGAAATGTTTAATGTTCTAAAAGTGTCATTTAAATGAGATAGGAGGTTTTATTCCCCAACTATTACAACGAATCCTTCCCACAGCAAATAACAGAAGGCTACCTCGGTCTATGTTAGAAATCTAGGGACTCAGACTCCACTCTCATTGTTGACGTACAGAACTGTCCAAAGTAAAACTATTCAGGGGTCAGGTAAAAGATATTATCTGTCCTTAACCTCTCAAAGCCTAGGCTAAGTTGCTGAACAGAGATACTTCATTAAGATCATCTTCTGTTCACTGTCCTTCAATTGTTAAAACCAAACTTGGCCCAGGGTATTTTGCTGGTGAATTCAGCGCTTCTGTGGTTCCCTGTTTTATCACTATTACTTAGCTAGTCCCTAACTATCTTAGGGAGAGGCCGGAAAATGATACACAAGATTGTTTCAAAACTGCATCAGAATCAAGGGGCTTTTTATTAGAGAAGGGAAACAGAAAACAAACGCTTAGTCAGTACTTCCCCTAAAACTTACTTAATTTAGCAGTAAAAAAAACCCCTCGGAACAAGTAGTATGGTGGTAAACTAACAGTCCCCTACCATAATAGTTTCTGTGTTTTAACCATCTTTGGCAGGCAGTCTTTAATGAAACAGGGTCTGATCTAAAGGGGTGCTGAGCAACCACCGATCCCAATGGGAGTTGTAGGCTCTCAGCACCTCTCATGATCAAGAGCCAGATCCTGCTCCCCAATTAACACTGGAGTAACTTTAGAATTACACCCCATTCACACCAGTGTTGGTGGGAGAGAATCTGGCCCTAAACCCCAATCTTGTTTTGGGGGGGAAAAGAATCCCATGAGATGCTGAGTGCTTCCCACAAGGTGCTGAACACCTAGTTCCAAGCACCTCACAGGACTGGTTTAGTCTCCTGGCAGAGATATTGACCAATAGGACATGGATGGTGTGATGCAGCTGCCCTTTTACCTACCTTTGCTATTGTTCCCAGAGTGACAGTTCCTGAAGCTCTATTGAGAACCTCTTGGTCTTGATTTTTCTTCCTTGTAACTCGTGCATCTTCAGATGGTAAAAGCTATTATTTGTGATCATTATTTCTATTCCTGAGGCATACGCTATTGTGCCAGGCACTATACAAACACATAGTAAGAGACAATCCCTGGCATGGCCCCTGGACATGTCTTCATTGCAGTTCACTTGAGTTAGCCACACTCAATTTACCCCTCTGGAGTTAGCCTTGAGTGGGTGAGAGCAGCCACACGGAGGACTAACACTTGAGCTGTTGGGTCCACACCAGCATGCATTGCATTCACTCATGTGTGGCACTACGGCAACTGGGGGCCATCCCATGGTTCTTTGCTTTTTTGTAGGCTGAGCCACTCTATGATCTCTCTGTCAGTGAGTTGTGGGGAAACTTGCCTCTCCTTTCTGGGCACACGGGGAATTGTGGGAAGGCATCAGAGGACTATTAGCCCTCGAATGAAGCTAGCCTGCATCCACACTGCAGAGTGGTCATACCAGCAGCTGACAAGTTGTACTAACTTGAGCTTTACCCTCTACCCGCACTTGGGCTCATCTACAGGAAGTAAAAGCACCACCACACTAGAGTCAATGGGTTTTGTGTCCGGACAGGACTCGAGTTATAACTCGAGTCAATTTTGCAGTGAAAACAAGACAGACAAAGGGTGCAAGAAAGGAATGATTATCTCTATTTTATAAATAAATAGAGATATCCCATCTCCTAGAACTGGAAGGGACCTTGAAAGGTCATCAAGTCCAGCCCCCTGCCTTCACTAGCAGGACCAAGTACTGATTTTGCCAGATCCCTAAGTGGCCCCCTCAAGGATTGAACTCACAACCCTGGGTTTAGGAGGCCAATGCTCAAACCACTGAGCTATCCCCCCATAGATGGGGAAGAGAGGCACAAAGACATTAAGGGATGTATTTTAAAGGCACCTAATTTCCTGTGATTTCCAGGGGGGTTAGTGCCTGAATACCTTTAAAAATCTGACTCAAAGTGACTTGCCCAAGGTCACACAGGAAGTCTGTGTCAGAACTGGTGATAGACTGGCCATCGTCTTAACTGTTAACCTAAGAGCCAAATCCTCAGCTGCTATGGATCAGTGCAGCGCCACTGAAGCTGGTGGAGCTACACCAATTTATATGAGTTAAGGAGCTATCTGTCACTTTTTTCTACAATCGTCATTCTGTTGTTAAAATTCAGCTCTGTCTAACATTACCCAGCTTCGGATTAATTTTTAAAAGAATCGAAAAAATATACCATAAATCTTTCCTGTGCCCTCACTCTGGCACTTTGCTCCTATCAATTTCTATCCCTTCACTCCCCCTTGATCTGCAATATTGGTCCTCTCTTTAGGTCACCCAACCAACAATCTTTCTGTATCTGTCGCTCAGCGGCTAATCCCTAGCTGTCACTGAACTCTCAAGCCTTGATGATCTGACTGCCCCCATTGCAATGGCAGGGAGAGTTCCTTACAGCTCAGGAGTGTATTGTAAGGGGCCATTTGTCAAATTGTACTAGCCCCTTGCCTGCTAGAGTCTGATTGCTAGGCGATTGCTTGTCAACGTGGCAGGAGGACAACCCTGGCGAGTCAAATCGTCTGTGTCTAATGGGCCAGTTGAGTAGAGATAGCAGAGGAAGCTCCTTGCCCTGTTGATATGCTCCCAGTGCATCTGAACGTTAATCTAGGGAGATCACATCTAGGGCTGCCACCGTAGTTCAGTTTTAAATTCATTCAGTCCTTGGCTTCTGTGATAACAGTGTCAACACACGCACCATTCTTTCAGTACCACTTGTATTGTAGCTGTGGAGTTAGGAGAACATTCACTCCTTGCAAATAGGTCTCCATAAATCAGCATGTAATGACTTCCAGCTGTCTGTGGCCTAGCCTGAATCCGAATCAGCCATCTAGCACCAAAAAGCTCAGCTTCCTATTATCAGTGGCTATAGGGCAGGGGTCAGCAACCTTTCAGAAGTGGTGTGCCGAGTCTTCATTTATTCACTCTAATTTAAAGTTTCGCGTGCCAGTCATACATTTTAACGTTTTTAGCAGGTCTCTTTCTATAAGTCTATAATATATAACTGAACTATTGTTGTATGTAAAGTAAACAAGGTTTTTAAAATGTTTAAGAAGCTTCATTTAAAATTAAATTAAAATGCAGAGCCCCCCGGACTGGTGGCCAGGACCCGGGCAATGTGAATGCCACTGAAAATCCGCTCGCGTGCCGCCTTCGGCACACTAGGTTGCCTACCCCTGCTATAGGGTAGCCAATCTCCATTTTAGGTTTATGGGTTTGGTATTTTTTTTAATTCTCTGCAGTAGTAAAGGTCTCCAAGAAAGGTAATAAAGCTCTCTAAGCTTTCAGCACCCAGAAGATTTTCCTCATTTGTAAATATGACTATTTGAAAAGATTTTATTTATTACCTTTTTTAAAATCAACAAGTAGAATTCTGTGGGCAGTCCAAATTATTTTCTTACACACCCATTAAAAGAGGGGGTGACAAACACAGCAGACAAGGGCATGAAGCGGAGGTGAGGCAGAAGACTGTCTGAGTGCTGGTAGATATACAAATTGATTTTTAAAAGTTATATTAATTCATTTGTTCATATCAAATCAGTTCATCCGATTTGTCCTACATTTGTTCCCATAATTTCGTTATTCGTCTAACCCATGGGAGTTAGGCACCCAAATACTTTTGAGGACCTGGACCTAAGTTGTTCCATTTCTCTTAATTCTTTTATTCTGATTTATTCTGATCACCCCCCGTTCTGTAAATGTATTTGCTTCAGCAGCAAGAGGGCACAGTCCTACAAACACATGGGCTTGGCTTTCAGTCTCTGAATAGTCCTACTGACTTGAGTGGAAATACTCTGGGGCTTAAAATTAGGCATGTAAGCATTTGCAGTGCTGAGGCCTTATAGTTACTAGTTACTTATTCCTGTTCCATATGACTCTTGAGATGGAAATTACTGATTACACAGATCTTTGATCAGAAACGGTAACAGAAAATACTCTTGGGAGAATATTCATTTGAATAGTTTCTTTTCAGCATAATTAAGGTAAGGGGAGAACATTTTTAAATTGTCATTTTGTTTATTTAAACAATCGGCTTTCCTTGGTTTGATTCCGATGCTCTAGTTGTCTTTACAAGAGTCTGATGGATCAAGGTAAAATTTCCAATGGTGCCTATGTAAGCAGGGGCCTGATTTTCTAAACTATGTAGGAGCGGGAGCCTAAAGCTGCAGACAGATACCTAGTGGCATTTCTGAAAGCCCTAAGCAGGCTGGGTGCCTCTCTCCCACTGAAAGCCCATGGGAGTTGGGTGCGTAACTTGTGGGGGACTTATTAAAGTACCTCTTAGGTGTCTATCTGTATTTTTAGGCACCCGAGCACCTCTAAAGTCTGGCCCTTGACTTTCAGTGGGACTGAGACGCCTCCAGTGCCTAAGGGTATGTCCACACTGCAATAAAACCCCAGTGGCTGGCCCGGGCCACATGATACCTGGGGCTCGGCTGCGGGGCTGTAAGATTGCTGTGTAGACATTGGGGCTGGCCAATTCCGTGCAAGTTAGGGGCCTAACGATCTTTACAAATCTACTCTTAGGTGCTTCTAAAAATGTCACCCCAAGAGCCCAGTGTAGCCTGCAGACCCTGCGCATAGCACTGATGCACAAGAAGGCAGGAGCCCAGATTGTGGGTTTATAAATGTGGAACCCCCAAGCTGGCATTGTTACAGTCACTTTTCAGAGTAGACCCCACTTGGAGAAGGGGCCCACAGTTTGAGAGTTATTATTGCCTTGTATTGAACAATCCCACCTCTCCTATACTGACCTCAGAGCCTTCCAAATACATGCAAGACTCCTGGAGGGGCCTGTCTAGATGTATTTGTTGATTAGGACTTCTACAGAGAATGAGGGCTGTAATCTGTGTCTGACAAGGTAGTCCCAGGACTTGCTCAGTAGGCTTGCAGTATTCTTCATTTTTGTTGAAGACTGACTTTCGTTTTTAAAAAGGGAATTGTTTGTCTAGTTCATGGAAAATCTGAGCCTTTGGAAATTTACGCCATGTACCTTTAAATCAGCAAGTGAACAGTAAAAAGAAAACAAACTACTGTTTTCCTGGAAAACGTTAGTGCATTTTCTCCCACACCCTCCCTCTTGAGTTCTTCCTCCTGCCAGTGAGAAGCCTCCCTTCCTGTTGAATCCATTATCAAACTCCATTTTGTGCCTCCCGCCCCCACCAGCGCTGAGTGTACTGGCCTCCGCCTCCCTTTCTCGCTTCCTGTCTGAGGAACCCCTGACAATCCAGCTTCTAGAGACAGGCTTTCCAAAATATGGCAACAAGGGGCACAGAGAGCTTTCATATTGTCTTCCCCTCTGACCCAGCTCCCACCCAAAGAAACAGAAACAATACCACACTAGCGTATAAAACAATCACTGTGAGTGGTGCTGGGTCATGAACCCAGCAGCCCCACGAGGGGCCTGGCCCACCTGCTCTGATGACGATCAGTTTTGGTGCATTTCCAGTGCTCAGATACCATAGTGACAAGGGCCATATAAATAGCTAGATTAAATTCAGTCTTTCAGGGGGTTGCTGCCACGTTCGCTAGAGTTAGGCCACCAATTTGGATGGGACTCCAAAGCTTTCCCAGCCCAGCTATCTCCAGTCCTGAGCCCTGTGTTTGGCGAATGCCCTGGTGACGTTGGGCTGTGATGCCTGGATGCTGGAGTGTGACTTCATAATGTTACATTTGCTTTTGTATGCACTGCAGGGGTGCAATGCAGGCTATCTGGGCTAGTGAATCCAGCCCATGGCCACTGCCACCTCCTCCCCTTACATGACTCCTCTGACTTAGCTCCCCAAGCCTGGGTGTAAGTTAGCGTAGTAGGGGCTAATTACCCCCTGCTTTGCATCATGTGTGATCATTCACAACTGTGCAAAGGAGCTGTGAACTGCCACCAGATCAGAACGCTAGGCCTAGATCCATGGCTGTGGCAAAGCTCAGACTGGCATGGGTGCAGTAGTGGCCACTGCACTTCCCCAGTACTGGGCTGGCTATGCACTGGGCTTCCCCCACCTCTCCCCTTCATCTTCCCCATGTAATTTCAATCAGCCTGATGCCCTGTCTCTGTAATGGACCCCCAGCCTCTAACCAACCCCAGACTTCTGGGAAGGGATTTCCAAAATACAGATGCAAACCTAGATCTGAATTTGGTGCTTAGGTGTCTCTCTGTGTAATGGATCCTGAATGGACCCCTGAATCCTAACATATCCCTTAAAAAAACCTAAACACAGATGCAAACTTTGCAGCCTGGGCCTATATCTAGATAGACTATAAATGTGCCATGTGACTTAGATTATAGTTGCTACAAGAACCATCTGAGCATCTCCCATCTCTGGTCCATTTGAAATCTGAACCATAATGTTGCATTGAATCTCCTTGTTAAAAAAAAATGGAGAGAAAGGCACCTTTGATGATCTGGGCCTAACTCCCAATGAAACCAGTGAATCACCTGTTATGCTGCCACTGCCTGTTTACCAAGCCCGGAGCTGTGCTAGCAGCTCCTTGCCCAAAGCCGCTTGCAGTGGCCCAGCTGTGGGAGACATCTTATGCCCAGTGAGCAGCATTGGTCTATTTTGCTCCTTCTGCAGGCTGGCCTGGATGGCGAGAACATTGGGAATTGTCCCTTCTGCCAGCGTCTCTTCATGGTTCTGTGGCTCAAAGGAGTCAAATTCAACGTGACCACAGTGGACATGACGAGGTAAGGGAATGGTGGTAATTCTTGCCAGTGAGATATCCAGAGTACACAGCAGGGAAGCTCAGGGCTGCCCCTTGGATTGTGTGCACCAACAAAATCTTAAAAAGCAACAGAGGGTCCTGTGGCACCTTTGAGACTAACAGAAGTATTGGGAGCATAAGCTTTCGTGGGTAAGAACCTCACTTCTTCAGATGCAAGCTTATGCTCCCAATACTTCTGTTAGTCTCAAAGGTGCCACAGGACCCTCTGTTGCTTTTTACAGATTCAGACTAACACGGCTACCCCTCTGATACTCAACAAAATCTTAGTGTCATATGGCTCAATTGCTCTTCACTCTACACTTCAGATCTCTCCCGCTGTCAGCATCACATCCCCTTTCGTTACATGTGCCATGTCACTGGCATAGATGGAGCTGACTGGCATCATTACGAGGCGGTGTCCCTGCTAGCAGTCTAGCTGTGACCAAATTCTCGCCTCACTTATGCTCCATTTGCCCCCCGCCACTGACCTCCCTGGAATTACACAGGGGATAAGCCAGCAGGAAATTTGGTCCCAAAATCAACAGTTCAGGCCATTGTAAGCAATTGGGGACACAATGTGAACAACAAAAGTTTGTCCATGGAGATTTATACAAGATATCCTGCAGAGACAGGCCATGAAAAGATGGCAGTGAGCCCTCTTGGCAAATTGAAATGACTACACATATCCCATGTGCCGCCAAAGATGGATGTCCCAATGGCCAGTGAAGTCAATGGGAGCTGTAAACTCAGGGTAGAATTTGAGCCTTTATCTAGGGAGCTCCCTCTCCTGATCAGCATGGCTCTGGCTCCAAAACACGGGGCCCATGATTCCTTCTCACCACTGTGTCTCCTCCATGTACTAATCTGTGTCTCTCACTATTTGA